TATTAAAAACTCTTCTTTTTTCCTCTTCCATCAAGGTCTCTAGCTCTTCTTTTTTTTTTTATCTTCTTCATTATCTCCTTAGATATTTTACTTTTATGCACCTGTTCAAGATCGAATATTTCCTTTAGACGTCCACGCTATTTTTTTTCCCCCTTTCTTTTTTCTTTTTTGCCCCCATTGCAATAACTAATCCTCTTATATAAGCCTTATGAGCCTCCCACACTGTAGCCACTGACACTTCTCCCTTATCATTCTCCTCAAAAAATTGTTTAATTTCCATCTCGATCTTCTGATCAATCTTATGATCCAGAAGAAGTGCCTCGTTCATCTTCCAAACTAAACCTCTCTTCCCCATCTTGATTTCATTGCAACAGGGGCATGATATGATAAAGACCTTACTTCAATTTTTGCTTCTGCTACAGACTCTATAAATCAGTGTTCTATCAGTATATAATCCAATCTAGAGTATGTCTCATGTGCATGTGAGAAGAAGGTATAGTCTCTGTCTTTCATGTGCTTAAATCTCCATATATCTACCAGTTGGCATTCATGTATCAACCTCTTTAATGACCTCAGAGACCTACTCTCTTCCCTCTGCACAGAAGAGGTTGTGTCCATCCGCAGATCCATACAAATTTTAAAATCTCCAGCTACTATCAGACGGCCTTTTTTAAAACCCATCAGTTTTTTCAATACTCCCTTCAAATATATATGTCATTCTATTCTCCAACTCAAACCTTATATTCTTTGCGAACCCTATAGCTACCCCCTTTGCTCTTTTAATAGATGAATCTGCATAGTACCATATTGGGTAATGTCTAGTATTCAGCCTTACATTTGACTCAATCTCTAGATGTGTCTCCTGTAAAAAAACCACGGAAGATGTTCTGTGTTGCAACTCTCTAAACAATCTAAATCTCTTCCCAGGACAATACAACCCCTTTACATTATACGTTACAAACTGTACTTCTTCCATATTTCCCTTCTCCTCCACCTCCTTTCCTCTACTGCTTCTCTCTTAACTCCTCTCAGCTCGCAGAGTGTTACGCCTAATACCCCCCTCCCTCCTCTCTCTCCCCAACCCTCCCCACCCCACCCACCCATATCCACCTCCCTTCATCCTCCCTCTTTTTAGGCTTAAGATTTGCCTACTAATCATTGTGGGCCAAAACCCACCTTTGATTTGATTTGGGGTTAAACTCCGTCCATATACGGCTCTCCTTTTCCAAACCCCCCTGTCCCTTTATCTATCTAATTCGATAACTTCTCGCTGCCACTTGAAGTAGGTCTGTCCATTATGGAGTTTAAGATTTTAACCCTTTCAAATCCTCTCCCTGTGGACTCTCTGGGATTCCTCGTATCCTGAGATTACTCCTTCTATCCCTATTTTCTTGGGCCTCTATTTTGTAAAGCAATTTCTTTTGATTTTTCCCGATTTCCAGTGTCCGTTTCTTAAGTTCTAAGATATCTTGGGCATGATTTTTAAGTTATTCCTCCGTTTCTTCCACTCTGCATAACAATTGCCCAAAATCATTCCATATCGTTGCTATTTCTTGCTTTATTGACTTTTCCAAATTTTTAAACATTTCTGCCATCTCTTTCTTATTCGGTACTTGCAATTCCCTTTCAAGTTCTCTTCCTTCCCTATTTTCTAACATATGTTGACTGCCATTGTCCATTCCTAGGGGATAGTCTAGGACTTTTTTCCAAACTGATTTCCAATTCGCTCTTTTCATTTATCCCCAGATCTTAATCCAATAGAAAACTTGTGGCGTGACATAAAAAAATGCCGTTTCTGAAGCAAAACCAAGAAATAGAGAAGAACTGTGGAATGTAGTCCAATCATCCTGGGCTGGAATACCTGTTCACAGGTGCCAGAAGTTGGTTGACTCCATGCAACACAGATGTACAGCAGTTCTCAGAAGCAGTGCTTTATACAACTAAATATTCATTAAGTGATTCAAAGTAAAGCAAAATCTTCAAACATTTTTCAGTTTATATAGTGAATGTTTGAGTTTGTAAAGAATACAAACACTGCTATTTTTTTTGAACAGTCTAATATTCACTTTTCTTCAATTGTTTTAGGGGAACAACATAAATTTGATATATTTTTCTTCATGTTTTGATTTGGAATAGAATGTGTAGTGTTCCCAATGCATTTGTGTGTATGGAAATAAAAGCTATTAGAAGGACTTTGAGCTTTATTCACTTTTTTCAACACACTGCTATTATTTTGAACACAACTGTATGTATCTGAAAAATGAACTTTAACTTGAGTAAAGCTTTTCAAATAATTACTATGGTCAATGTTACAAGAATGTATTATTACGAATGTTTAAATTTTGTTCTGTATTGATTGAAGTTAAAGGTTCCAGCAAAGAATCATTGTAAATCTGGCCATTCACTGTATGAATTTTGGCTGGTTCTTAATGAACTGACTGAAAATTCACTCAGCAGATGGACCTGTCAGTCGCCTCCCGCCTGACATAAGTTGATTTAAAAAATCAAAGGAGTCAGGCAAAAAGTTGTCAGCCAAACAGTGGCTGCATTCAGTGAGCAGGTTCCTGCTGCTGTATTATGCATCAGCACAAGTCATCCTTGCAAATGTAGCCTTATACATCTTTTTTCAGGACAGACAGGGTTTTAATTTGGTAGCAGATTTGGAAACATATGTTTTTATTTCCTAGGTTTAGGATGAAATAGTGAAAATGCAGAAAAAAAAAAAAAAATTTCTGTAATTTTTTCCTAATGTCACATTTTTGTAGTTTGCGCAGCCTTAGATATCTACTCCAAAACAAGTGTAATTTTTATGTATTGCAGGGGGTAGGTGAATGCTTGTGTTTACCTTGGGTGTGTGATATTCCCTTGTCACGTTACATTGCAAACCATGCAGAAAAAAAAAGTTTGCCTAAATTGTTAATATTTATTTATATCAGGTACTTATATAGCGCCAACAATTTATGCAACGATTTACATATACAGTATATTGTACATTAACATAACCTTAGGATGAGACGAAGTCCAGTTGGTCAAAGCATACAATTAGTATAATACCAACTTTATCACAGGTTTGTTATCTGTACAATTACAATTACATTGCATTTACATTGAATTTGACACTTAAGCGGCAAAGGCAAATGTCATCCAGATCATCCAACATAATTGTTGGGATCCATGGAATAATCTGGGGGAGGGAACTGCCCACCCATGCAGCTCTGTAGTAACAGACTACTTCAAATAATAATCTGCAAACAATAGAGCAAAAAAGCAATGGGCTATGCAAGGCTGGAGATAGCTGTGATACCGGATGTGTTGTCACACAGCATGTGGAAACATTGTGTTTACATTCTTTGCTACTGAGACCTCCTACAGAGTGGTCTGTAGCAGGATCCGAAGCTCAGGAGCTGAATGTTTCAGCGGCTGGGCTTAATGCTGTACCGAAAGTTAGTAGTTCTGTAGTGGATTGCCCATTTACTCATCATGCTCAAATGCAGTCATAGGGTCCCTTTAAATCCTTTCCCACAGCTATCCTCTCAGTTTCCTTCCCTTATTAGCTTAGAGAGGCTTCTGATAAGAAGGAGGTAGGTGGACAGGTGATCTGTAGCCAGGTGGGCGGCCATCCACTGTCAGAACCACCATGCAGGCAGCTTGACCAGAACCTGCTAGCATGCATCTTCTTCAAAAGACCCAATTACTGTAGCAGCACCTCCCATAATTATACCAAAGTATTGCAGTTCCAGTTGGGTTGCACTTTGTTTTTAAGCTTTGGATCCCTCCAGCTGTTTGCCTGTGTTACAAGAGCTAACCTGGACTTCAGTGAGGGATACTGTTTATGAGGCCAATCACAAGAAGCTGTGTTACTGAAGTAGTGATTCTCAGCTCGACTCTCTGTTGCTGTAGAGTCTTCAAAGAGAAGTATGGGAATAGTTTTTTTCCAAAATTATACTTACTGAGGTGGACGCAGCATCGGTCCGAGGCAGCATCTGTCCCCCTGCTGGCTACGAAGTGTGAGAACTCAGCAATCACATGACCGCTGATCTCTGAGTTCTCACAGCTGCTCTGAGCAGAGAGTGGGACTGTCAGTCACCACTGTCTCCTTTGCCCCCCTCCGCACTCAGTGAAGCGCCGGGCTGTGGAGAGTGAGGGAGCAGCTGACTCAGGCTCTCAGCGATTCGCTGAGAGGCTGAGCCAGTAGCCGCTCCAGACTCAGGTGGATCCCAACTTTAAAGTTGGGATCTTTCCCCAGCCTGCACCGGCTGAGTGATGTCTGTCGACAGTGGGCTTCAACCCACTGTCAACTGAAAATGGGTCACAGGAGTGTAGAACTGGACTCCTGTGATCCACAGGAGAAGTACTGCCAAAAGATACTAGGCTATGCAGCCACATGTTCCCTGACTGAGCCACAGGGACATTGCTGTGAAGAGTCCATGTGTGTTCAGCTTTCATAACATGTTTTGTATTATTCAGCAGTATATGCATGTTGTTTGTCATTCTGGTCCTGTTTTGCATTGTTGATTCGAACTTTGCACCTGTTGAATAAACTGCAAGTTACAGTTACTCTCTGTCTTATCAGTCGACTGATTACCCGTCCTGTTATAGTTTCATTCCTTAAAGTGTAATTCCCTTTTTGTGGGAAAAAATTAGCAAATAAAAAGAAAACAATATAACAATCCCACTCCTGATGGCATTTTAAATAGGTGCCAGGATGAACAAATGCTGGCAATGTGCCATTTGAAACTGGAGGCTTAAGTAGTTAATGTTGTGGTGTATGCACCACACCAGATGTTAATTTAGTTTAACAGACTCCAATATTAACTTAGCAGCATATACTGTATTTTTCGCTCCATAAGACGCACCTGACCATAAGACGCGCCTAGGTTTTAGAGGAGAAAAACAAGAAAAAAAATATTCTGAACCAATGGGACTGCAGACACAGTACAGGAGATGACCAGAGATTGCGGACACAGTACAGGAGATGACCAGAGACTGCGGACATAGTACAGGAGATGACCAGAGACTGCGGACACAGTACAGGAGATGACCAGAGACTGCGGAGACACTACAGCAGATGACCAGAGACTGCGGACACAGTACAGGAGATGACCAGAGACTGCAGACATAGTACAGTAGATGACCAGAGACTACGGATATAGTACAGGAGATGACCAGAGACTGCGGACACAGTAAGGATGACCAGAGACTGCGGACACAGTACAGATGACCAGAGACTGCAGACAGTACAGGGGATGACCAGAGACTGCAGACAGTACAGGGGATGACCAGAGACTGCAGACAGTACAGGGGATGACCAGAGACTGCAGACAGTACAGGAGATGACCAAGAAACTCACAGACAGTACGGGAGATGACTAGAGACTGCGGACAGTACATGAGATGACCAGAGACTGCAGACAGTACAATGGATGTCCAGAGACTGTAGACAGTACAGATGACCAAAAGATTGCAGACAGTACAGGGGAGGACCAAGAGACTGTGGACCTTTGGGGAGAGAGGGGGAGCGGGTACCTGAATTTGACAGGTACCTGCTCCCACTTCCACGGAGTTGTCCATTCTTTAGTGTGGGCACCCGGCTGTGACAGCTGGGTGCCCACTGCGCATACGCAAGAAGACCTGCGCTTTTTGAATGGCCCGATGTCTTCTGGGACCTGTCATGTGTCATTCACAAAGTGCAGCACTTCTCGCGCATGCGCAGTGGGCACCCGGCTGCCCACACTAAAGATGCTGGCATGTGAAGACTGTACAGCGCTGGACCGAGGAACAGGTAAGGTCCTCCTGCAGAGAAGAGCTGAGCGGCCAGCCCGGTATTCTGACACGGTGGCGGCGGAGGAAATACAGGACCGGCCGCTTCATATTCGCTCTATAAGATGCACTGACATTTTCCCCCCTTTTTTGGGGGAAAAAAAGTACGTCGTATGGAGCAAAAAAAATACGGTATATCAATCTTTAACCACTTGCCCTCCTGAGGATTTACCCCCCTTCCTGACCAGGCTATTTTTGTCTTACGGCGCTGCATTAGTTTAACTGACAATTGAGCTGTCATGCAACGCTGCACCCAAATTAAATTGACATCCTTTTTATCCCACAAATTGAGTTTTCTTTCAGTGGTATTTCATTGCATGTGCTTTTTTTTATTTTTTTTGCGCTATAAAAAAAAAAAAAGACAATTTTTTGACTTTTTGCTCTTAAACATGTTCAGTAAAAAAAAAAATGTTGTCATAAATGTAGACTAAATGTATTCTGCTACATGCCTTTGCTAAAAAAAAAAAAAAAAAACAATACATGTAAATTAATTGGTTTACATGAAAGTTATAGCTTTTACAAACGGTGGCATATATACTGGAATTTTTTTTTGTTAGTAATGGCGGTGATCAGCGACTTATAGCGGGACTGCGGTGGGCATTCTGACACGGGGGGGGAACTGACATGGTGTCACTGACATCCCCAGTGACACCAATACAGTGACCAGTGCTAAAAAAAAAAAAGTACTGACACTGTACTAATGGCACTGAGCAGGAAGGGGTAAACATGAAAGGCAATTAAAGGGTTAACTGTGTGCAGAGAGTGTTTTTACTAGGGGGCCGTGTGTTGGTGTTTCACTGTAAGCACACTGCTCCAGAGCAGTGTGTCGAGCCGACAGGGAGGGGGACTGTTAAAAAAACAAAGCAGCCCTCCTCCCCGTCGGAGATCACTGGGTGGCAATCACTGGGTGGTGAATCACCAGCCGGGACCCGGTGATTAATAGCAGTGGCCACATATGGCGGCACGGGTAGGGCTTGCGCGAGCCACCTATCCGGAAATGCAAAATCACATATATATATATATATATATATACTGTGACAGTATGAACGGCGAGGTGATAGATGGACGCTATGTGTTACCTCGCATGCGATCATACTTTGAAGTTTAATGTTAAGTCCACTCCGGGTTTTCGGGGCCACAATGGTCAACAGGTGGTATAAATAAGGCAGGGCTGGAGCAAGGAGCTGCTTGTGGCCTGGGACTCAGAGAGCCATTCCTGAGAGAGCTGTGCATGAAGGTGTGTATTATACCTACACAAAAAAGGTTTGCTTATTGTTTTGGGTGACAGGGAGAAGCCCTTCACCCGTGAGATAGGAAAAGTTCTATGTTTAGTTAGTGCCTGGATGGCAAGGGTTTTTTTTTTGCAGTTTTGTTTGTTTTGATATTTTTGCAAACCTTGAATAAAACTGACAACCAGTCAGATTTTGAAGAAAGCCTGCTGTGCGGTCTACCTTTTTCCCAGGGAAGGTGATCCCCTACCTGAGCTAACCCCACAATACACACACACACATACATATATATATATATATATATATATATACACACACACACACACACACACACACACACACACACACACACACACGATTTTGTACACCCCTGCCGACCTATAGCAGTATATATTAAAGGAAAAGTTCACCTTTGGAACATGGTACATGTTCCACCCGTATTTAGGGTAACATTTTTCAGCTCCTGCCTCTTCACCCCCTGATCCCCCCCCTCCATGTGACAGTGGGTGGGGGATCTTCTTCCCGTACCCACTGTCAGAATGTAAAAGGAGCACGCCTATGCAGGGCTCAGCCCACACAGCAGCATCATTCATTCACAGATTTTGCATCACTGGCCTCCGCGGCGGACGGCTTGTATTACTTTATGAACTGCAAGGGTGCTGGTGAGCATTTCCTGCCATTCAGTACGCGTAGACAGCTGTACTAACTGTCTGTAGGAGCCTGGCATTACCCCTGCGATCTGATGACAGCGGATGCAATGCCTTACAGGCTGCAGAGTAAAAAGTTACATGTGTACATTTTTTTATTTGCAAAGAGAAGTGCATTTATTATTTTTTGTAAAAGGTGAATCAAGCGTTTAAAGTCCATGTATGATGCCTAAACTCCATTACAAATTCTGTTCACATTCTATTCATCTTTCACACACTTTTAGATCAGTTTTCACACAGAGACAGACAATATAACTTTTTCTATCTACCCTATTGTTCTGAAAGAGAGCTAAAAATGTGTATGGGTAGCTGAATCACATGTTGAATTACGGTAAGCCAGTTTTCTGCAGTGCTAATTAAATCAAGTACCAAAACATTAGGTTCTCCCATCTGCTTTGCTATTCTCTGGACCCTTTCTGACTTATCTGCCCAATTAATTTCTAAAGTGCCATTCCCCTTCTGACCTCATGTAAATATTCCTCCAACCTTCATATAAACCATTCTCTTAACACATCAGACCCCTTTCTTTTAGTTACAAACTGTCTTCATACACTAAATGTTCTAAAGTGATTCTCTGAACGAAAAAAAAAAAAAAAATTTTGGCAAGCAGGATAACTGCACACACAACCATCATGTCTCAGTTTTGTAGCAAAGTAGTACAGAGAGCAAAGAAAAGAGTGAAGGGACCTGTGTTCCTTAGTGAACTTCAAAATAAAAAATTTTTTACAACAAGTGCAAAGAATAATACTTTCTTTTTGTCCATTGAAGGACAAAGGAATTTATTAAACTATCCAAAAGCAGCCTTACTGAGAGGTGGACATCATAGCAACAAAGGCTAACATAGCCCCCACCCAAAAAAAAAGAAGGAACCAACAAAGCAGCTGGCATCAGATGAGACCATACATTTTGATGATGGTCTGCCTGGCTCACCTAGAGATGATGGAAGGGGAAGCTGGTGTACACTTACAAGGTCCATCTGGGATTACAAAAGTGAATCAGTTCTCCTAAAAGTAACAGTGGTTACAATAGCAATAGGCCCTCACAGCCTAAAATGCATCCAGACAATGGAGATTCATTTCCTTTTGGTGAACTGTGGCCAGATAGGGGAATGGAACCTTGTTGAGGTGAATGGCAGAACTACCTTAGGTAAAAAGGAAGTCCTGGGCCTCAACATCACATTGTCCCTGTGCAAAACCAGAAAGATTTTGCATAAAAAAAAAGAAATCACTTGGGAATAAACAAGGGAAGCTACATGGAGGGCTTCCCATACAAGTGTCAGAATCAACAGGTGAGATGCCAATGGTCTCAAACAACATACAAAAGGCAGAAACCTCATATCTGAAAGTGCTGAGAGCCAAACATTCAGACGCTCAGCTGCAGAAAAGAGAGGATTTGTCACCAACAGAGGAACTTAAGTGGAAGTGGAGCACGCTTTCCATGTCTGATGACAGACCTTGCGGAAGTACCTTTCTAGTGTTTAGCATCAAAAGGAAACACAGATGTCCTTGTCTCAAAAAAACCTGGGCTTTTACAGCCATTCCATTAAAACCAAATGAATAATAGAATGGGAAATATTAAGTCTTACCTAATCGGTGTACCACATCTGCATTACGTTCGAACTACCAAATCATCTATTGCTTCTACTAGAGCTTCTACTTAAGCAGTTTGCTGAAGTATGTACACTTCGATGAGGTATATCAGGATCAGGTTTTGATCCTGAATCATTTGTGCAAAACCTTCTGTTACACAAGATACTTATTGGGGCATGTTGGACTTAGACACCTATACAGACAACTTCACATGTATATAAAAATGTATCTTTATTATAACAAACGCCTGAAACGTCGCAGTCGCACGCTGGAGAGACTATGGCACAAAACCAGGTCCCCTCGTGCGTCCTCCCTCTACAAATTTGCCTTCCTCACTTACACCTCCTCCCTCCACGCCACCAAGCAGGCCTACTTCGTAAACCTGATCAACACCCTCTCCACCTGCCCTCGCCGACTCTTCTCCACCTTCAACTCCCTGCTCGCTCCCCCCCCCCCTCCTCCACTCAGTACCTCACTCTCCGCCCACGAGATTGCCACCCATTTTCACAACAAGATCGACACAATCCGTAAGGACATAGTCAACTCGCAATGTACCTCCCCACCTAGCCTCCCACCCCCTCATCTCTCCCCTCCTCTGACTTCGCAACCGCATTGCCCCCCACCACACCCAAGGCCCCGCTTACCGTAACCCCCCCAGCACTGTACTCCTTCAGCCCTGCTACCACTGAGGAAGTCACCAGGGTCTTCTCAGAAGGCCGCCTCACTGCGTGCCCCCTGGACCCTATCCCCTCTCATCTCCTCCGGTCACCCCCCTCCTCCCTCATCCGCTCCATCACCCACATCTTCAATCTCTCCCTCTCTACTGGCGCATTCCCCTCCCCCCTAAAGCATGCGCACATCACCCCCATACTCAAAAAGCCCTCCCTGGACCCCACAGACCCAAACAACCTTAGACCCATCTCCCTGCTGCCACTCACTTCCAAGCTCCTTGAGTGCTTAGTCTACGATCGCCTGAGCTCCCACCTACCTGACAACAACCTTCTTGACCCACTACAGTCTGGCTTCCATCCCTAACACTCCACTGAAACCGCCCTCCTCAAAATCACTAACAACCTACTAACCGCCAAAGGCGACTACTCTGTCCTCCTTCTCCTGGAGCACTCCGCGGCCTTCGACACAGTTGACCACCCCCCTCCTCCTTAATAAACTACTCTTCCTTGGCATCAGAGACACCGCTCTCTCCTGGTTCTCCTCCTATCTATCCCAACGCTCCTTCAGCATTTCCTACAACGGTGCCACCTCCCTCCCCCTCTCTGTTGGGGTCCCCCAAGGCTCTGTCCTCAGACCCCTTCTCTTCTCCATCTACACCTCCTCCCTTGGCAAACTCATACACTCCCATGGCTTCAACTATCACCTCTACGCTGATGACACTCAAATTTACCTCTCCACCCCTCACCTCACCCCCACAGTCTCCGCCCGCATCACTCACCTCCTAAACGACACCTCAGACTGGATGTCGCTCCATTTCCTCAAGCTTAACCTCTCCAAAACC